TTCTCCTGCCTCACCCTCTCGTGTAGCGGGGATTACAGGTGTGTACTACCTCCAACTAATTTGTTTTTTATTTTTAGTAGAGATGGGGTTTCACCACATTGGCCAGGCTGGTCTTGAACTCCTGACCTCAAGTGATATGCGTGCCTCAGCCTCCCAAAGTACTGGGATTATAGGCGTGAGCTGCCATGCCCAGCCAGAAGGCTTAATGTTGTAAACATGGCAATATGCCCCAAAGAGATCTACACATTCTGTGCAATCCATATCAAAATTCAAACTGTCTTTTATGCAGAATTGGACAATCCGATCCTAAAATTCATATGAAATTGCAAAGGATCCAGAAACAAAACACTCTTGAAAAAGAGAGCAAATGGTGAATAACTACTACTTCCTGAGTTTAAAACTTATTACAAAGCTATAATAATCAAAACAGTGTGGTACTGGCATAAGACATATATACCAATGGAAGAGAAAAGAGAGCTCACAAATAAACCCATATACGTATGGCCAATTGATTTTGGACACGGCAGTCAAGACTATTCAGTGGAGAAAAAGCATTCTTTTCAACAAATGGTGCTGGGAAAACTGGAAATCCCCATGCAAAAGAATGAAGTGGGGCTGGGCACGGTGGCTCACGCCTGTAATCCCAGCACTTTGGGAGGCCAAAGCGGGCAGATCACGAGGTCAGGAGATCGAGAGCATCCTGGCGAACACGGTGAAACCCCGTCTCTACTAAAAATACAAAAAAATTAGCCAGGAGTGGTGGTGGGCGCCTGTAGTCCCAGTTTCTTGGGAGAGGCAGGAGAATGGCATGAACCTGGGAGGTGACAGAGGTTGCAATGAGCAGAGATCGCGCCACTGCCCTTCAGCCTGGGCGACAGAGCGAGACTCTGTCTCAAAAAGAAAAAAAAGAATGAAGTGGACCTTCACCTAATAACATATACAAAAATTAACTCAATATGGATCAAAGACCTAAATTTAACAGCTAAAACTACAGAACTCTTAGAAGAAAACATAGGTGAAAATCCTCATATGTATGGATGAGGCGATGGTTTCTTAAATCTGACGACAAAGACACAGGCAATAAAGAAACAATAAATTGAACTGCATCAAAATTTAAAATGTGCATCAAAGGACACTGTATCGAGTGAAAAGACAACCCAAACAATAGGAGCAAATATCTACAAACTATATACTTCACAAGGGATGAACATCCAGAATATATAAAGAAATCCTGGGCTGGGTGCGGTGGCTCACATCTGTAATCCCAGCACTTTGGGAAACCAAGGCGGGGTCACCAGAGGTCAGGAGTTCGAGACCAGCCTGGCCAACATGGTGAAACCCCGACTCTACTAAATACAAAAATTAGCTGGGCGTGGTGGCAGGCGCCTGTAATCCCAGCTACTCGGGAGGCTGAGGCAAGAGAATCCCTTGAACCCGGGAAGTAGAGTTCGCGCCATTGCACTCCAGCCTGGGCAACAAGAGTGAAACTCCGTCTTAAAAAAAAAAAAAGTCCAACACAAATCCAAGAGAACTTATCAGTCCTGAATGGTGGCAAGGTGGGTGTCTGTAAGATGCTCCAGAAGCCTTCAGATCAGGCCTGATGCTGACACGGCAAGCAGCACCGGGTGGAGCAGGGGATGGAACGAGGGCGGGGGGCAACCGGAGCCCTCTGAGCCTTGAAGCCTTGGGCCACTCAGTTCTTCTATTCCTGTTTCCTCTCCTGTCAAATGGTGTGACTGCAGGGCCTACCTACGGGGCTGTTGCACAGATGAATGAATGTGTATGAAATTCTTGGAGCAATGCCTGGCCCAGAGGAAGCATCACAGGGATGTGTCAGATCTCTCATCAAGGGGATCAGGAATTCGAGACCAGCCTGGGCAACATGGTGAAATCCCATCTCTACAAAAAATACAAAAATTAGCTAGGCGTGGCAGTACACGCCTGGAGTATCAGCTATTGGGGAGGCTGAGGTGGGAGGATGGCTTGGGCCAGGGAGGCAGAGACTGCAGTGAGCCAAGATTGTGCCACTGCACTCCAGCATGGGTGACAGAGCAGCGAGATCCGGTTTCAAAAGAAAAAAGAGGAAGAAGGCCGGGCGCGGTGGCTCAAGCCTGTAATCCCTGCACTTTGGGAGGCCGAGACGGGCGGATCATGAGGTCAGGAGATCGAGACCATCCTGGCTAATACGGTGAAACCCCGTCTCTACTAAAAAATACAAAAAACTAGCCGGGCGAGATGGC